AACTGTTAAACTGATTGCCATGCACATGATACCTCCTGGGAAGACAAAACAATGAAGCTCCTGCCATAAAAAGAAATGTGTAAGATAAATATGAATAAATTTGTACAACAATTATAAGCAGCAGATCGCTGTGTGGGTTCCGGGGCCCCATTGTGGGGAAAACAAGAATAGACCCACTGCCCTACCCCCCCCCCCCCCCAAGAATGTGTAAGAGTCGACTGACTGGGTGCTTCCTTCAAAATCAGATTGCATCTGGATGAGAGGCAAGAAACCAACAATCTGCATACAGATAAGTCAGATGCATGAAATGGATGTGAATGCAACACTATGGTTCTGGAACAAGACTAAAGTCCAGAGGTTAACAAATACCCACAACTTTCTGCTTGAGTTTACAGCCGGTGAACACGAAGAAGAAGAAGAAGAAAATAAACACGAGTGGACTCCTGCTTTAATATCCTGGACATGAGACTGCAGACATTTAGTTATTCAGATGATATTTTCACTTTCTGAAACAAACTATAGAGATGTCAACAAGCTAAAAGTGACAGCTTCTTTGCTTTTTTTTTGGGTCGCCGCCTGTAGCTTAGGCGTCGAGAACGCACTTCCTAATACCCAGTTCCCAGCTGCGGGCGGTTTGTGTTGGTTTTGACTGTGGTACGGACAGCTGACCGTTCAGCAGGCAGTGGCAAACTACCAGCTGACCGTTCAGCAGGCAGTGGCAAACTACCAGCTGACCGTTCAGCAGGCAGTGGCAAACTACCAAACGTAACATTTGCCTAGAAAAACCACAACAGCCAAAAAATGTTGGGATTGGTTCTGCGACATCCTGTAAAGGATATCCAACTATCATTTGCCTTCTTTAAGTACAGTATAGTATAGAAATTAATCCACTAAACGGTGACTAAAAAGCTTAATGAAAGATTAGGCTGGAGATCTTGGTAATCTGTCCTTTGTTGTTGTTGTGGTTTATACTGAGAAAGGCTCTGGTGAAAACTTAATTTTATCTGGTATGTGTACATTGTTCCCCTTGCCCCTTTTTTTAAGCTTGTTAGTCTTGAGTTTAGTGAATTAATTCTTTGGTTTCATCATTATCGAGTACTTTGCTGACTGGCATGAGCAACCACGCCTCTTTGCAACTTGCGATATCCAAAAGCATGAATCATTTCAGGTGCTGACACTGTTCCACATCAAGACAAAAGGCTGCCAATCCTCATAACGTGGCCAAACAATGATGCCTGCTTCTTTCTGATGTTTGTGATAAGTTGCTGATGTAAATGTTGAAAGGGGAATCTGAGCACCTATGAATGTGTCTGGAGTGCCCTGAAGATAACCAAACTCATAACTCACAAACAATCTTTTTGTCTCAACTTACCTAACATTGAGGAAGCGCCCACCAATGAATAAAAAGACAAAGACACCCAAGTCTGAAAGATATCAAAAGTCAAGTGTTAAAGCATTCAGTTAAATGACATCCAACAGAATAATGTGCATTTGATGATAATGTATTCAATGACAGATCTTCTTCTTCTTCAGCATAGTGAGCTCTTGAGGTTCATTGCTGCAGACATCACCTGCCTCCATTCATCTCACATCTCCATGGTTAGCCCTCTCTTTCCAGATGGTGACTCCATGTATTTGTAGGCCTGCCTAGATATTATCTGTCCAGCCTCTTCTTGGTCTGCCTTATGGATCTACAGCCATTAAGACCATTTTCCACCCCAATCAGTCCATGTCTTGGTCCTGAAAAAGAGTGGACATCTTATCTCTATTCTCCTACATAATGATTGTGTCGTGTGGTTGGGTTCTGTTTATCGCCAGTTGTATATCGCTTGGTGATTTTTTTTTATTTTGGAATGATTTGGCCCCTACCTGAGATGGCATAACAGACGGCTTGATGCAAATTACAAAAACTAAATACACTGAACCATTATAATTAGAAAGGTTAACGAGGGGTGAAGGGAAACACATGCACAGAAACAATAAAATATTTCTAAAGAAGGTTTTGTCAGTTAGCATCAAAACAACCTTAAGAAGAAAAATAGATTTGCATGTGACTTCCCCCAAGACATGGGAGCTGTTGTATAGGATGGATTATTTTTGCTGCTTTGCTTTTTTTTCCTCCTGTTTTGAGGCCCCACTGTGACAGGAGAGTGGGAGAACAGACCCACTGCCTTCCTAACAAGATCTCGTACAAACTGACCTAATTAGGGGTGTTTCCTTAGATGTCAGTGTGCATCTACCTGAGAGGCATGGAACCAGCTGTCTGCATACAAATAAGCTTGATTTGTAAAACAGATATGCATGCAAAACTCAAGTTCTGGAACAAGACAATTCAGAAGTGGACGAACAACCAGAACTTTTTCGCTAGAGTCTACAGTCTATTAACAGGTATAAGAGGAACACATGCTTGTTGATAAAGGCTTCATGCGATTGCTTCTATCTGTGGTGCCCCCCACCCCTCCCCCCAGCTTCCTATCCATATTTTGTGTATCCAAGTTTTGTAATTAGCATAATGCCATCTGTCATCTGGATTTAGCAGTGAGTTGTCTATGTGTGGAGACAGCTAGTCTCACAGACTCTCTCCTTACTCACAACTTGCAGGGGTTAATTACAATGTTATTATTCTTGGTTCCTTGCTGGTTCAGGAAGGAAAAAAAAGCCAAGCTCATGTACTTTCCAATTATAGACAAGTCCCTAAAAATCCCTAGAACAGCAACCATTTTACATATGTCACACACAAAGTGAGAGAAAAATTGCACAAAATCTATTATCTACACACACACACACACACGCACAAAATACTATACCAAATAAGGGGAGTAAAAGAACCCTTTTCCCTACCTTCAGGCATATTAGGCATATAGGGCTAGATCTAAATTTCATAGACCAATCAGCACTCAGTGGGAGACATGGTCAACATCACGCCAGCCTCCTTTACTTCCCAGGATTTTATTTAATACCCATTTTGAGCAAAAAATGAAAAGTTGACCATGCTGAAAGAAGTAAAAGTATAACAAAGATACATAAAGGAGCCTCCAAAGAAACCCTATCATAAGTGGTAACGAGGCAGACTGAAGACTGGACAAGGGGTTCAGAAGTGCTGAACCACACGTGGTGGCACACCAGGACAGCAGTCATGTTGATTAAGATCTGTCTACACCACTCTGCGGTTAGCCTAGAAACAGATTCTCAATCTGGGACTGAATCAATGTATAAAGGATCAAAGTCCATCTGAACTAGGAGGCTGAGAACCAATGTAATGGGGAATATTTTCGACCCAGTTTAGGATGGTTGGGGGGAAGGCCCAAAGCTGACCGAAAACACCGAGAAAGCCCAGATACTTGGATTAAACGAGAATCTGGAGATAGGTGACTAACCACTAGTTATCACGGGGACCACGGTGATGCGACCCAAGGTCGCCACGGGAAAAGTAAAGGACCACCACGTGTTGTCACGGGAAAGGAACCCGTGGTATAAGTCAGACTTGACTCTGGTCAAGTTTAGTTTTGTGTCGACCTGTTGGAGCGAGAGGACGAGCGATTGAATGTACGAATGTCTACGTGAGTGCCTGAGGAGAAAGGAGACCTGCCGACGAAATGTTAAGCTGAGATCGACCATGCCAGCGTGTGAGATGTCCCAAACGTCAGTGTTGAATCCATGGGACCCATCGCTGCTTGAATGCCTGCAGAAGACTATTCGTTAAAGGCTGCGTGAGTTTGTGTACGAAAGCGGTTCAATTAGACATC